TCAATCTTCAGCGTGAAACGAAAGCCAGAATGAATGCACCCTTCATTTTACAACGCGACATCATGCTTCATTAAATTAATCCAGCAAACACAATCGAATCTCTGGTATCGCAACCATAAATTTAATCTGGTAAGAGTGACTATCGAATGTAAGTTAAATTAGCCATTTGATAAAGGTTTTGTTACACGCAAGGCAACAGCCACAACCAACGAAAAGGAAGAAGACGAAGAGACGAGAGGGAGATGTTTATTTCAACCACGCCAGGCTTGAATTAACCGGGTACGAAGTTAATTATCATCATTTATAACAAGTCTGGACAAACGACCTTCCCCCTGTTCCAGTGAGGTCACGTCAGCGTTTCTTTCTAAAAAAAAGAAGAAAAAGAAACTTATTTAGTGGCATTATGGTGGTTTTTATTTCATTACAGTTTAAAGGGATATCGCGCTTTTTTAAAGAATCGCCACGGTACCTCAATATTCGTATTTTTCGTTAACTACCGATGGTCACTCTAATGTTTTGGAAATAGGGAGTATCCGAACTGGGTATATAAATGCCATAGGCTTTAGGAGTGTAAAGGAACCCCTGATTAACAACTCTACGTTAACCAGATTTCATTCACTTTCAAAATATAATTTCAGTCGATTATTCAAGAACTTATTTATTGACAATTATGTGAAAAGAGTACAGAGATATGCAATCACACCCAACACGGCCTTGTTTCTTGAAAGCTACATTGTCTGCGGCCTGATTCAGTCAGGCTGGACAAACACAAAGACCGCTGAAAGAGAAATGACAGAGATTCTATTGAATGAATGAACTTCTTTGATCCCAAACATGCTGTACTATTATCACATGCATCCTTATTCACCACTCGGTAAATGAAGTTTTGCCTTTCCTGAGAAATTTTATTTTGTTTGACAAAGGCGCAGAATTTTACACAGTATTGTTTACTGATGGCATCGGGGCCATCATATGACATGATTATGAGTAATTAACTATGGTCCCAGCACCATCAGCAAATAATAATATGGGAAACTATGCGACCTTGCCAAATAACTTTGTTGTATAGTGGAGTAATACTCTACCAATATGCCTAAGTTCTATTCTTATAAAAATATCACCTTCATGGAAAAGATGTAAAGAAGAGCAACACGGTTGATAGCGAGTTGTATAGGAAGAGTCTGCAGAAGGCGAATCTGCATGAACGTGACTCTGATGGAAAGGGTTATGTGATCACTTCCCACCACATTATCGGTGACCCAGATCATTTCCACAGGTGGCACTCATAATCGATTAGCTAATATTACTTCCTATTTCTTGTTTACACTGGGCATCACTAACGTGGCATTTCAAATAGTGTTTGAATAATGGTGCGCTAAAATAGCGGTTCCTCTCCCATTAACAAATATCACATTAAATGCGAGCATAATCTCCACTTATATGATGGACACTGGGCTTCATCAAACTGGCTCTATCAATTGATAGTCCAGCTTACATTTGACACCTTCACAATTTTCCTTTCTCATCATCATCCCTCCATTTTCTCATTTCATTACCATCATAATTAACGTTGTTCTGTTTCAAAAAACCGGTAAATTTGGCAACACTAGGCGGAAAAGCGCCATGGTGCTGTGATAGGCCAAGATATGTTCAAATTTATTTGAACTACAGTTGATCTCTACATCCAGCATCGATGCAATAGGTGAATTTCAGGACCAGCAGTGCTGTGGTTATTCAAAGACAAGTTTTAGTGTTAAATTAAAGAGCTATGGTCATGGTGAACCAGCACAGGAATGACTCGGAGACTGTCAGTGAGTTGACATGTGGTATGTGCCTAAGAAAATTTCAAAAAAATTCAGAGATCACTTGCTTGACATGTTTTTTTACAGTAGTAGTGTACATTGTACCTTTGAACTTTTGTTTGAATGAATGCAACCTGACATGTTTAACTTCACTTCCACTTCCGCATTGTACTCCGGTTCCTCCTGTACGGTTACTGTCTCGCTCTCTCGCTGTACTTTCACCTAGTACACTCTACGAGCCGACAACCGTCTCATCTCCAGATAAGTGTGTATTTTTTATTTCTTATCAAATTGCATATCTCGTTGTGTAAATATAATTCCGGTCCAGTTACACTTGCCCTTTCGAGTCTTCTAACTTCGATTCCGTTCTTTAGTACTTGCACGTAGGCAGAGTACTAATTAAGGTTATAAACGGTGAAGGAGTTTTGTAAGAGTGGTTATTGTCAGGTAGAAGTAAACCCTAAGTCTAACTCTTACAAGTGGTGAGCCCGAGTTTTCACCGTTTGCCTACTTAGTAGCCTAAAGTGTAAATAGTCCTTTTTCATATTGGTAATTTGTTTTTCATTCGGAGTTATAAATTTTATTTGCCTTGTTTTTCCTCATATTTTT